CTTGGCGGAGGATTTTTTTTTTGAATTGAATGACAATTCTATATCAGCGACTGAACTATATAAAACAAAGTCAGTGGAAAACATTACAACTAGTTATTTACAACTAATAATTTATAATGAACCTGCCATCGAGTAATTCTGTGAGTCTGTATCAAATATACTTAACTAGTGATTAGTCAACTAATCAACTAACTAGTAAATTCGAGTATTGTAATTCAATGTGGCCATCTATATTGGATAATAGAAATATTTATTTTGCCGTTTGTAAATTACTGTTTATCACTATAATACTGCGTCTTTTGTGTGGTTTTTCACCTAAATCCGGGGTCAATTTCTGACATTTGTGAAATGTACAAATTACACACACATTTGAAGAGTTTGGCAAATGTAGATCTCCGCCCTCATAAGAGCTCAATTCAAACACGCAAAGTCGACAACGAGCGTTGAATATTGCGCCCATTGTGTTACCTGGGGTATGTAAATACACAAACACGGCTAATGCACCACGACATGCATATTATGAAAGATATTTCCTTGTCAGTCACGGGAGTTGAGAAGCGACCTGAGTCGTAATACAACTGTTAGCATGAATTATCTTATTACCTGCGTTGGCAATGTTTTATTCTAAAAAGGCATAATTTGAACATAGTAATAGTGTTATATTGCACATAGAAGACATATCATAAAGAATGTATCCTAGTCATAACTGTGAAATTTCGAATAGAAATTGACTGAGCTGTCTATCCATCCATACATTGTATTACTTACAATTGTAGTTTGTAGATTGAGCACTTGTGTCTCTTGAGCTGGCGAAAACCTTGCGCCATTATACAAAGGATTCCAGAAATCGAGCTTAATATATAGAAAAGTGCTTGTAAGCTTTTTAGGAACAATATACATTTTAGAGAATAATTCAATCATCAGTTTCCACAATAAGATTACATTCAGTCACGACTTCTATCTGTACCCTATGTCACTGACCAACATTCTGAAATATTGAGATATTCTTGCCGGAAACAATGATGAAATAATCTGAAACGGACAAAACATGTTATTTTCACTAATTTTGTACGTCGATATTCTCCGAACTTTGTACGCGGACTCCATATTTGTATTCTATTTTCTTCAATGTTGTCACACGAAATGTCAGGTAAGTAAAAATAAAGAAATTAACAGTGCACGGTAAATTTTACTTTCGGCAGTGTGAAACACTCAATTTATCGAGTATAAAATAAGAACTTTTCAAACGCAAGTTATATTTTCATTCGCCAGATAAAAATATCAGACCGCCGTGGAAGGAACTCGGTGAGCATCGGCTAGCACAACGTAGAACGCCCCACAGCGAACTCGGATGCGACGTTTCCTCAGTGACGGTTTGGCAGTACATATTTGGTTCATAGAACAATAATATCCTAACATGAAAACAGAGCATCTTACTTAACATCCGTTCTAGCATGTTTGCTGCCTATTTCGAATGGATAAAATTCCTCCAAAATCTTGAAATCAACCGCAAGTCAACAACAACCGGGACCGCAGCAGTGCGGCGAACGACAAGTTGTTATGTGCTGCATAGTTGCGCAGTAGATACAGTCATACTTTGTGATATACATGTACTTGTACATAGCGGTCAATATACCATGTAATATACATTTGTATACAATGTCATGTGACTGGGACTCAACCAATCCCAGCATGCACAGCAGTGAGATATGATAAATTGGTATAGTTTAGTAGTTGGGCCATTTAGTATATACCAGTGAATTTTATTTTAATGTATAAATTTAACAAGTCGTTCTGATATACAAATTCATTACTTAGGAGATTACAAATGATTTTCCAAAATGTGTTTATATATAGTTTGTAGCCCATATTGTTGTGTCTTTATTTTGCATCGGATTTTGTAGTCACCCAAACTTCAGAAGCGATTAAACTTACACTTATAAAACTGTCATGCAGGAATTGATATGAAGATGTGCAGTGAAAAATCTCGAACAGTGTTCTTCACTTTTTTCGGCTGTGTTATAATAAATTTAAACCAGAAGTGGCCATTTTGAATCCTTTTGGGGGATTTAGACATTCACGAAAAAAAACTTTAATAGTCATATGACCTTTCCCGTGATATTGAATATTCTTTACAACATGAAATACTTTTATAATTTATTGCATTAGTTGCATACATAATTTATACATGTCATACGTCATTCATGGACACGCCAGTCAAGAATGTTATGGTCGTAATAAATATGCACACTGGAGGAAATAAATAATGAACACAACAAATGGGATCAAAGTTAAGAGGCCTTTTAGAAGGTTTTTTTCTGGAGCATGTTTAGTGAATTTAAGAGGCGAGAGGGAACTTATTTACCGGCCATATGTGGACGAAGTGAAGACGCTGCTGGGACAATTGACAGATCAACAAGATTTTAATATTTGCTGTACACCTTTCCCCGTGATATGATTATATAATGAAAATGATTGTATATATATTAGTTATAGTGTATCTACATATTGACAATTTAGGTTACGTTTACGAACCACAAACGACAATAATAACTTGCCTGTGACTGGCAATGCTGCATGCAGCTTAATTTGGTTCTACTAATGCACGTGTTTAATATTTGACCAAAACAATTTAGAATTTGTTTGTGGTGACATGAAATTAAAACTTTGGCTCTCCAAATATCACGTTTATTGGGCTTGCATAAATACTTTAATTAGTTTTGAACATCCCCATATTCGCGTAGATAATCCAAATTATTAGTTTGACGAAATCTTCGAAACAGCTTATAGTGTTGATTTCATTATATCTCAAACCTTATTGGTTGATTACGGCTATAGTACGTTTGATGGATTTCATCGTGTGACATTTCCCAGCTGCATCCTTTAACACGACATTGATAACACAGTCTACAATCTGGAGTTTCCAGTATAACATTTAGTTTGTTCATTGTGGCGTAAGAAAAGATAAATTGAGTGAAAGAAGTTACATCCAAACGCATTTTTTTCAGAATTCCGCCTTTACCGAGGATTTCAGATGTTTCGTTCTACCTACTGCAGCAAGACAAACAGAAGGTCAAGGCTCATATACACGCACTCCACTCGTGTATCAATACAAACAAAGATGATGAAATAAGAACATAGTCAACTGTCCTAGTTGACTGTCCTAGTGTGTGATACAGCTGCAGTCTCCCACACCTGTACACAATTCATCTTTTGAGATACGTGTCCAAAGTGTGGTTAATCGTGGACATTTGTGGTGGTATATAAACATCTTTCTCTATAATAAACAGCTTCCCTTTCAATAATAAAATAAAGTCATACAATGCATATATAGATACGATATACATTAGTCGTTCCTAATTAATAAACACACTCCCGTCAGAAAATTGTCTACTTTTTGAAGACCTTGGTCTCGATCGGACGAAAACGTGATATTTATTGGCGGACATTATAAATAACCTCGTGACTATAAAATGATATATCCAATGTGAGTGTATCATGAATGTTTGTTTATAACGTCATCGAAATAACATTTAAATCCTCTACACCAATACGGTTTGAAGTTTAAGAAGCGGGCTTCACGTCATATTGCATTCGAGGTCAAGTCACGTGATTATGCTATTCATATAATTTAGAAATACGGTCCCTCTATGCTAGCCGATTTAACTGTGAACATACATATATGTACGAATGACGTGAGTCAGTCGGGTTGGACGAAATTTACCAATAAAATATGCAAGCTGTACGACTAATGTTTTGCATTAATTACATTAATCTGTCGCGATGGCATAACAGACACATTCACAAATAATAATACGGACATCCGATGACCAGTTTACATTTTGTATTCCTTTATTGAAATGACTGAAAACTTATTCTCAACATGTCATTGTCGTTTTAGTCAGTAACTTCGACCCAAATCGAGAGTGATTTAAGCGCCGGCCGCTGCATAGCCGAGCTCTTTGAAAGCTTCGAATGTCTCAATTCCAGATGGTTCAATTTGGTCTTCAGGAAGTAGGAAACCGTACTCGCCAGTATCACGTAGTTCTACCGCATGGGAGTAAAGTATACCCAAGTCATTGTACGTCCAGTCTCCACTACTCCCGCTAGCTACATCTGTGAAGTAAACACGACATGGGTTATGTTAAACATGGACGTACGTGTTATTTTTATAACACTGTTTTTATCTCTCACTGACTGACTGACTGACTGACTGACAGAATTATATTTACGGAATAAACATCGTCCGTTAGTCTTTAATCAGTTCACGTCATTTATGTACATCTAGCGACCAAAATTAAATGCGCTGGTAGGCGTTTTGATTTAACGGCCGCACGTGAGTGTGAATCCGGATGAAACTGCCCCGGTAACATAATAGAGGTGTCACGACAGGACCCAACACCCCGTCCCCGTCTGTGTTGAGTCTCGATTATTACTAATTTTGACCGGTACACATAATAAAAACATATCCTGGGGGTGTTCTACATGGATATTATAGAAATGTACTTACAAATAACGTTGGCAATCGTTCCATACTCGTATACGGTGCCGTAAACAGACTGTATTGCTTCTGCGCATAGTTGATTTAGCCGATTCTGAACGTACAAAAGGAGAAAACGAGAGATGTATATTGTACTAAAAGGTGATTGTACACATCGATAATATGCCGTGGTCGGGTCTGGGCGCAATAATATGACAATGTATTGAGGGAGCTCGAGTTGAAGACAATTTGTTCATCCACTGCTGATATAACATGGCATTACGGGGCATTCACATTCAGTGTGATGGAAAAGTATTACTACATTGAATGATAATTTGTGGAATTGTATTTTGATCAATAACAATATATGTAACCGACAACAATTGAGAACCAATAAAAAGAGAAAAATCGGATAAACAAATTCATAATTGTCTGATCCTACCGGCAAAAAACGTAAAAATTCACAGGAGATTAGAAAGTCCTAGTATGTTCAAATCGTCTTCACACAGATTTATTCCAAACCAAGCAAGTCTATCAGGTACTCACTTCATTAATGAAGTATTTGCAACTGCTACAAGAGTTGATGATGGGCGAAAATTGGTGACGAGCAGCGAGTCAAAAAAAGGTTGGTTACCCAGAATAAGGAATACATGTATAATAATTGCAAAAATAAAATTACGTATCCGACCTGTTCGGTAAAGTCTGCGGGTAAATCATGGGTATATGCCCAGGGACTCATCCACATCTGCGAATAGGCATGTACATCTGCAAATACTTTGATGTTTGGCATCGATGCTAGGAACTGTGCGGTGCCGGAAACTTCCACTTCGGAGAATGGTTCCGTTCCCATGTAAGTCGAAGCACATGGAAGTGAACTACTACCACCGGCTACAATGATAGGAAAACGTGCGAATTAATGTAGTATGTTATTAAAATGTAACCAAGTATGATGAACGCACTATCACTGTCAATGAATTCATAACACTTACTAGTATAATAATAAAATGGGCTCACTTACTTCCCCATTGGTATCCCCAATTTCTATTCGGATCTGTACCGACGCAAACGGACCCCTCATTCGGGCTTCTAGTTTTACGCCACATGCGATCCTGTAAAATATGTACAAGTAGCCGTATATATTATATTGCTATTGAAAACAAAAACCACTGATAACGGTGTACCAATTAAAAATATGCACACATGGTAGCGGATAAATTGGTAAAAAAACAAAAAAACAATATGTAAACACGTAATTACGTCAGTCCATGACCATACGTATCCATCAGGGTTCAACACGGGAACGATGTAATAATCTACGGAATCCATTAAATCAGTGACTTCAGGGTCGGTACCATAGTTGTCAATAAGCTATAATATACAAGATGCGAAAATTGTTGTAAAGGCGATTCCAATGAAACACTGGCAATAATGTGCGGTCATTCGTTATTAGTATAGGATATAAACAAGGCAGAAAATAAGCATAGAAGCTCTATGTTTATATATATATATTCTGTCCCCGTTTGGACACTTTAATCTAATTTTGAAGACATAGTAATATAATTCTTTTACACAACAGTTGTCGAACATATCGGCGACGCTTCTACGTTTACTTTAACCGGGCTTCTATCATATACTTATATCAATCGAGAACGTCAAAACAAATTGTAACAACTGGGTGACGCAAAGTTGCATAATATAATAATGGGCGAATGGAATACACAATTTTGAAAAAAAAAACTTTAGAATTGTATATATTTAGATAGATTTGCGCTATATATAGATTTGCGCTATATATAGCGCCCTCTGGCATTTGTGGGGGAATTCGTTGAGGGACTAGGCTTCGGAAAATTGCAAATTTTTGTCTATGCTCTTCTTCCCACTCGTAGAAAGTCTGTCCTACTGGTCCTACTACCTATTGGTCTATTCAAAGGAAATGTGTTGACAGCTGTTTGATGTATTACGCAGCATCGCACAGTATATCAGGAATGTCGGTAGTTCTTTTAAATATGCTAAACTTCTAGTATTTTACTTTTTCTGTTTATTACGATAATAGTGCACCGAAGAGCCAATGCTGATCAAATTTTGAATTAGAATGACCTGGATTTCAATCTCAATGAAGAGACTAATGTTTCGAAATCTGACAGACCTTTTGCAATACTGTAAAACATGTCTTTTTCGCAAATTTAGCGAGCGAACTGATTCGTTAATGACTTTATTATCAATTCAAAATGGCCGCCTACATCAACATGTCGCTATTACGTCATTTTACAACAATTCGCTAAAATTGCATGCCGTTTTTTCAACATGTTTTACAGTATACAGTGTTGTACTGCATTGAACAGTGTGTTACTTTTCTACCAGGAGTGATTGCATTTATATTTTAAAACACTTATCCTGTGTTAACAATTGTATACATTGTTATTTTGCTAAAGTAGTATTACTTGGAGAAAATAGCATAGCAGTGCGATTATTAATGCCAAAATATGGAAATCAACTGATCTAGTGTCACGTATCACATGACATTTAACAACCAATCAATTAAAGCGGATGCGATAAACATACCAATCCTACGGTGTAAAGCATCACTGCTGTTGAAATCCATTCACGTGCATGCTCACATCCGCAGAGGAAAACAGCCGGCTTGTTTGATCCCGCGGATCCAATCTATATAAACACATAATGTTAATATATAATAAAATCTCTGTGAAAGCTCTCTTCCTGAAAATAATATTCACACGCAATGAATATAACACAAATTAAAATAAACAAGCCATGCATGGCACAGTCCCCGTTAGTTATCAAATTTAAGATATATAGTTTTGTTTATAGTAATATAGGTGGAATATAACCATGTCAGGAAAATGATTTTTTTACATTAAAATGATTGACATTTGTATCTGATCGTACTTGTTCATATTGAGAGATATTGCTCTGGAACAGCATTCAAAATCAGCCATTTTGAATACATGAATATATATAACATGATGTATAACGAACATATAAAATTTAAATATAATAAGTCAAAGCATTTAAGAGATATGGCTTTAGAAGCCCAATCATTAAAACAAAATGGCCACCAGTCAGCCATTTTGAATCCAATCTGAAAAATAAAATGACGAGCATCAGGAACCCGTAATGTCTAATGTATGTACCAAGTTTGAACGAAATCCACCCATAAATGCTTGATATTTTTTAGCACAAAAATGACCACCATTCGGCCATTTTGAATAGGATAGTCAAACCAATATATCTGTTTATCTATGACATGATGTATAATAAATAACAAAATGACAGCCATTTTGAATCCGATCTGAAAAAAAAATGATGTGCATCAGGAACCTTCAATGTCTAATATATGTACCAAGTTTGAATGAAAACCATCCATAAATGCCAGAAATGCTTGATATTTAATGATTGTTTAGCACAAAAAAGGCCACCATTTGGCCATTTTGAATAGGATCGTCAAACCAATATATCTGTCTATCTATGACATGATGTATAATGAATATTTAAAATATGAACATAATCAGTGAAAGCAAGTCAGAGATATGGCACGAGAACCACATTCATTAATACAAAATGGCCGCTAGTCAGCCATTTTGAATCTTATCTGAAA